TTTTTTTTTTTTTTTTTTTTTTAACATAAGGCCAGTTGAGGACATTGAAGCTTCAAAGTTCTGTACCATAGAGAGCACATGGCAAGAATTTGGGCCTGGAAGGAATTTAAACAGATATAACAATATGTTTTCTCAGTGAATGTTTGTTTAGTGCCTATGCTGTCTAATGCTACATTAGGTACTAAAAGGATTAAGAGATATTCAGAATAAATGGGACAAAGTTCCTCCCTTCAAAGAGCATAGTATCAACCTGGGAAGTAATTGACTTATCATATCAGTGGTTGTTTATAAGTTGTGCTGTGTTTTGTTGTAACTCTGGCCTCTGAAGATGACACACAGAAATGTACCACTTGATAGAAATGTCTTTATACACTCAAGATGAAATTTCTATGTATTATGATCACTTAATTTATTTATTTATTTTTTTTTTAAATTTTTTTTTCAACGTTTTTTATTTATTTTTGGGACAGAGAGAGACAGAGCATGAACAGGGGAGAGGCAGAGAGAGAGGGAGACATAGAATCGGAAACAGGCTCCAGGCTCCGAACCATCAGCCCAGAGCCTGACGCGGGGCTCGAACTCACGGACCGCGAGATCGTGACCTGGCTGAAGTCGGACGCTTAACCGACTGCGCCACCCAGGCGCCCCTATGATCACTTAATTTAAATTGCATATTAATATTCTCTTTTTTTGAGAGAGAGAGGGAAAGAGAGAGAGCACATGAGTAAGTGGGGGAGGGTCAGGGAGAGGGAGAGAGAGAATCCTAATCCCCACACCCAGCACAGAGCCCCACTAAGGGCTTGATCCTATGGCACTGGGATCTCATGATCCTGTGGCTCATGACCTGAGCCACAATGAAGTTGGACACTTAGCTGACTGAGCCACCCAGGCGCCCCAATAAAACGTTTCTTAAGAATAAACATTTATTGTGGCTCCATGATCTCATGGTTCATGAGTTCGAGCCCTGCCTTGGGCTCTGTGCTGTGACAGCTCAGAGTCTGGAGGCTGCTTCTGATTCCGTGTCTCCCTCTCTTTCTGCCCCTTTCCCGCTTGTGCTCTCTCTCTTTCAAAAATAAACAAATAAACATTAAAATTGAAAAAAAGAAACATTTTATTATCAGAGTATTGCCTTATTTTGAATCTTTAAGAAAGGGAGCACCAATACTTGACAAAATAGTGATGGCCAAAAGAAATGTATGGAGGAAGGAGCCATGTGCCTTCTTTATAAATTCAGTAGCTTATCAGTGGAAAGAGTAAGAAACTCTGGTAAACAAGGTAGCCCAACTGTGTATGCATTCTTTTTACTGGATGTAAGTTGACTGTGGCCAAAAATATTATAGAAGAAGAATAATTACAACAATAGTAACTACCATTTTTTGAACATTTACTATTTTTCAGGTAATGTTCTAAGCAGTCTATGTGTAATAAATCATTTTGTTCTCACAAGAAACCTATGAGGATATTATTGTCCCTATTTTAGATAATAAAGTTGAGTCACAGATATGTTAGATAGCATGTCCAAAGTAAAAAACTTCCTTACCCTTTGTAAGTGCAAGGGTCAGTCAGTACTGGAATTTGAGCAGCTGACTCCAGAACCTGTAAAGGGAGGGATGGTGTGCATTAGTTTATTCTTTAGAGTAGTGGTTTCTTAAACCAGTGAGTGCACACTTCAGGGACTGTGCAAAACCATCATGAGATGCAAAGAGAAAAGCTACATTCTTCTGCTTGCATTTATCATTTCCTTTGTGTAAATGTAATCTTTTTTAAAATATTTTTTAAATGTTTTAATTTTATTTTTGAGAGACAGAGAGAGACAGCATAAGTGGGGGAGGAGCAGAGAGAGAGGGAGACAGAGAATCTGAAGCAGGCTCCAGGCTCCGAGCTGTCGGCACAGAGCCCGACAGGGGGCTCAAACCCACAAACCGTGAGATCATGACCTGAGCTAAAGTTGGACGCCTAACTTACTGAGCTACCCAGGCGCCCCTAAATGTAATCTTTTATATATAAAAAGGAACATATATATTCATTTACTTAGTCACTTTTTATATGTCATGATGTAATTTTTCCTAATATCATGCTAAATGGATTACATTTCATTGTTAATCTGGATTAACTAGACCAGCCCTCACAGATTTCATATTGAAAGTAATATTAATAATGTAAACATAAGCAAACCACAAGAAAATGGTAGACCTGATGCCTCAACATGGGAAGTATGTAAAAAATTAGAAATTATTATGAAAATTATTTGAAATACGGATTTCTATTTATTGTTAATGATGAACTTTGTCTTAAGTGTATATTGTGCCTTGGCATATTTATCAGTAAGAATATAAAGCCATTGTCATTTTCAAGACATTTAAAACAAAGTGAGTAGAACAGGAAGATGGACCTCTACAATTTGAAAGCAACATTATGCTAAGTGAAAGAAGCCAAATACCAAAAGCCACACATTGTATGATTCCATTTATATGAAATATTCAATAGACAAATTCATAGATACAGAAAGATTAGTGTTTGTCAGGGCCTATGAGTAGGAAGAAATAGGGAGTGACTGCTAATGGGTTACAGGGTTTCTTTTTCAGGTGAGGCAATGTTCTGGAATTAGATTGTGGTGGTGGCAAATGTCTGGATTATACTAACAAATGCTTTAAAAGGGTGAATTGTTTGGTATGTGAATTATATGTCAGTAAAGCTGTTATTTTTTTTTTCTTTAAGTTTCATTATACCACTGGTAAAGAAGATTAAGAAATATTTTAAAATACTGTTTTTATGTAATGCTTTGAAATGTTTATCTTCTGTGACTCTTTCAGTACTAGAGTAATATAGTACTACATGTATTTAAACGTACTTATTTGGGAACTCTGTGTTCCAATTCCTTACCTCCCTTCCCACTTCCCTTTTCCTCTTCGCTAATAGGGATGCACACTCTGAAAAAGTTGGAGATCACTGTATTAGAGTTGCAAGGAAGGGAAGACATGTCAAGGGTCCCTTTAACAGTAGCATTTTATTTCAAGTATACAAGGGGATAATAGGTAGGACAGGATATTGTCTTTTGAGATATACTGTACTTTTAAGGTTGGGATGGACACCAGTTTTCATGGAAAACCAGAAGGTATTACCCACTGTTATAGACACAGTCTAGGGAGTTATTCAGCCAACTCAGTTTGCATCCCAAACATATACCTTCCAAGAAACTGAGAAACCAGCTGGGTTGGTTTGTCGTGATAGAGTATTTATTTTGCACATAGTTTCATGCCATGCCAAGTTAGAAGGCCTTACCTTCATGAGCTGGTAGAAAGGAGACTTTGAACGGATTCCATGTACTGTAGATGATGATTTTAAGACGTACCATTTTTAGTAACATATACAACCCAGAATTAGATTAGGAATGTTTTTTTTTAAATTAGGAATTGCATGATTTTGAACGAGCAAGTAGAGTGTTGGTATATAAAAAGATAATTGTAAAATTGTCTCATAGTGTCACAATTTCATAGATTCATTGTTCTTTAGTTTCTTAATTTGCTATACCAATTTTATTGGAAGGAAAGCTGCAAGAAGCTTTCTTAATTAAAGCAAGTTTAAATGACTGATTTTTAAATGAATAAGTTTTTCTGATTAATAAAGGTATATGCTGCTTTTTCTTAAATCTTAAATTATTTCTGAAATTGCTGTTTGGAAGATATAAATGTAGGGGCGCCTGGATGGCTCAGTCAGTTAAATGTCTGACCTCAGCTCAGGTCATGATCTTGTAGCTCATGACTTCGAGCCCCGTGGGTTCTGGGCTGACAGCTCTGAGCCTGAAGCCAGCTTTGGATTCTGTGTTTCCCTCTCCCTGCCCCTCCCCAACTTGCATTCTGCCTCTCTCTCTCTCTCAAAAGTAAACAAAAATTAAAAAAAAAAAAAAAGGACAGATATAAATGTATAATGACTTGTACTGAATGAATATTTTTACTGAAATATAGTTAACATACAGTGTTATATTAGTTACAGGTGAACAGTATAAGGATTCAATAATTCTGTACAATTTTCACTGTCATCAAAGTAAATGTACTCTTATTAATCTCCTTTATCTGTCTCAACCCCACCTCCCCTATGACAACCACCAGTTTGTTCTTAGTTTTTAAGAGTCTGCAGTTTGTCTTTTTTCTTTGTTTCTTAAATTCCACATACATGTGAAAACATGGTATTTGTCTTATTGTGTCTGACTTGTTTCACTTAGTATTATTTTAACATCTATGTCCATCCATGTTGCTGCAAATGGCAAGATTTCATTCTTTTTATGGCTAATAGTCTATTGTGTATGTGTGTGTGTGTATATATGTGTGTGTGTGTGTATATATGTATATATATGTGTATATATGTATATATATGTATATGTATATACAGTGTGTGTATATATACATACATACACACATATATATGTGTGTGTATATATGTGTGTGTATATATACACATACTATATATATGTGTGTGTATATATACACATACTATATATATCTATATCTATATCTATATCTATATCTATATCTATATATCTGTATATTTATATATATTCCACTTCTTTATCCATTCATCTATGGACGGACACTTGCGTTGCATCCATATCTTGGCTATTGTAAATAATGCTGCTATAAACACAGGGGTGCATATCTTTTCAATCAGTGTTTTTATTTTCTTAGGGTAAATACCCAGTAGTGGAGTTAATTATATGGTAATTCTATTTTTAATTTTTTAAGTAACCTCTGTACTGCTTTCCACAGTGGCTGCACCAGTTTGCATTCCCATCAACAGTGCATGAGGATTCCTTTTCCTCCACATCCTTGACAACATTTGTAATTTCTTGTCTTTCTGATTCTAACTATTCTGACATGTCTAAGGTGATATCTCATTGTGGTTTTGATTTGCATTTCATTGACTATTTACATTGGTAGTGATGTTGAGCATCATTTCATGTGTCTGTTAGCCATCTGTATGTCTTCTTTGGAAAAATGTTTATTCAGGTCCTCTACCCATTTTTAATCGTGTTATTTGGGTTTTTTTTTTTTTTTTTGGTATTGAGTTGTATAAGTTCTTTATACTTTTTATATTAACCCCTTATCATATATATCATTTGCAAATATCTTCTCACATTCATTAGGTTGTCTTTTCATTTTGCTGATTGTTACCTTTGCTGTGCAGAAGCTTTTATTTTGGTATAATCCCAGTAGTTTATTTTTGCTTTTGTTGCTCTTGCCTGAAGAGACATATCTAGGAAAATGTTGCTAATGTTCATGTCAAAGAAATTACTGTCTGCCTTTTCTTCTAGGAGTTTTATGGCTTCAAGTCTCACATTTAGGTCTTTAATCCATTTTGAATTTATTTTTATGTATGGTATAAGAAAAGTGGTCCAGTGTCATTCTTTTGCATGTAGCTGTCCAGTTTTTTCAGTACCACTTGTTGAAAAGACTGTGATATCCCTGTTATAATTTTTTTAGTATAACAAGAAAAGCCCAGCAAGTTTTTAAAATTTTAACTTTAAAATTGAAAATTCATTAATGGATGCTTCATTTTGAGCAGCAATTCAACTGATTATCAAACCAAAATGATAATTTAATATAATGATGTTATATTCTTTCCATAGGTTTTATTGAAAACTACAGCTGGAGATATTGACATAGAGTTGTGGTCAAAAGAAGCTCCCAAGGCTTGCAGAAATTTCATTCAGCTTTGTTTGGAAGGTAAAAGTGTATCTTTCCACAACATTGAAGTCTGCTGTTAAATAGTGGTAATGAGTGATAGGAGTGGGTATGAATGATATGGTGTTGAGCTGTTGTGTCAGGAAATGGATAGAGGAGATAAAGATTGTCTTTCAAATAAATCTTTATATCTTTAGCAGAGAAATTTATCTCACCAAATAAAACTTTGATCCTTTTTGATCTTCTTGCCTGTTCTGTACTTCTTTCATCCTCTAAATAAGAGTACTCCCTATGATTGCCCCTAGTTCTCCACTGTCTTTACTCTTCAGTTGTTACTTCTCTCCAAATGACTGTCAGATTTAGAATTCCAGCCATTTCCTCTTCTCTTAGCTGTAATTTACATGTCAAAATGACTAGTGGACTTTTCTACTCCAATCTTCCTCTGTCAGCTATAGCTAAACCGCACTGCCTTGACTTTCACCTGCATGATTATGATTGTCTTTTACCTGGTCTTTCTATCTAATCTCTTTACCCTTTTATTTATTCATCTGGTATTTGAATCCTCAGACAGCTTAGCTTCCTAGCTTTTCAACTTGGTTTCATTGCACTAAATAGCTATATGGTTTCAGTTGACTATTATTTTATTTCCTGAGCAGTTCCTTCTTGTCCACATATCCACATACCTCCTTCATGTCCTCAGTCTTCTTTTTGGAATACTTTTTCTTTCCTTCCTCACTGTTTACAAGTCTACCCACTTTTTAATCTCTGTCCAAAATTCTGCTTTCTCCACGAAGCCTTCCATCCAGGATTCAGTGATGTCATTATAGATGTCTCTGGTCTGTTTTTAGACTGAGTCACAATTTGACTATTTTTCTTTCAGTAAACTTTGCAGAATTATATCCACTTGAGTGTTTTCTCCTTCAGAATATTCCCTTATAGAACTAAACATTCTAAACATTTTTGCAACTTGGCTTTGACGATACTTTGCATATGGTTTCAAATATCTCCTGTGGTGGCAAATCATTGTCTTTCTAAGTTATACCTGATTTGTAGAGACAGACAAGGTTAATTAGGTATCAGAAAGCAGCATTTTGAGTCAAAGGCAGGGTGTGAAAGATAATTCAATATAACCAGTAAAAGGGTACAGCTAGAGCTCTCCAAATAGATAATAATTACACAAATAGATAATTATCAGGGGAAGATTTAAGGTATAAAAATACCCAGAGCCTCCTCCCCCAAAAAAAAGAAAAAGAGAAGGACATCTGTGAAGACCATTATTAATAATTGCTATGGCAGGCAGGAAGGAAATTGAGTCAGACAGGTAGTACAGTCAGAGAATCCTCAAATTACTATCAACAGAGTCGAGAAACACAGTAGACACAGAAAAGTCAGACTTGTTTCTGGAAAGAAGTTTTGAAGACTCAAAAGCTCAAATTTTACAGTGGAAGACTGGAAGTACAAAAACATTAGAAAGAATGAATGGTAATTAACAATCCATGACCAGGTGAATGGAAGAAACAGAAAACATCTGGATATAATATGACAATGAAGAAGAAATAAAGTTCTTAAGTTAGGTCATGATGAAACTTAATTGGAACAACACAAATTATTCCCCTCTATAGAAGAATACGTGGAGAAAGAGAATAGAAAAATCATAAGGAAAATAACTACAGCAATTCTCTTAATTGAACAGGTGAGAGAGAGAATTATTACTACAAAGGCTAACAAGAAGCCTGAGAAGGCTAACTGAAATGAAGATACCCCCAAATAAAGTCAAGTTTTTAAAATATAATTTGGAGAACCTCATTTAATTCACTAATTCTGTTACTTAAACAAGTCATGATATGTCAAGATCTTTTAGCATTCATATCAGTATTTTTTTCAAAAAGGGATGATTTCCAGAATTAAAAAAGAAATAAGTACAAACTTGGGAAGGTGGAGCCAGATATGGCTCCCAACTAAAATGCTGTTCATAGCGGAAGTTCTTAGTCTTTTTTTTCCCCCAGCTTTATTGAGGTATTATAGACAAATAAAAATTGTATATATTTAGGTTGTACATGATTTTTTAAAAGGTGTACAAGTGTGTACTATACATATACACTGGAATGATTATCACAATCAAGTTAAGTAACGTATCCGTCACCTCACAGTTACGAGTGTGTGTGTGTGTGTGTGTGTGTGTGTGTGTGTAGTGAGAACACTTGAGATCTTTTTTCTTAGCAAACTGCAAGTATACAATACAGTATTATTAACTATACTCACCATGTTGTACATTGAATCCCCAGAAGTTATTCGTTTTATATTTGAAAATTTATCCCTTTTGACCAACATATCCCGATTTCTCCCACCTGCCAGCACCTGGCAACCACCATTTTACTTTCCAGTTCTATGAGTTTAACTTTTTTAGACTCCACATACAGAATTTGTCATTCTGGTGTCTGGGGGATGTCTTTAGTGTTTATAGAAATGAAAGATCTAGAATTACACAGCCTTACTCTTGGATTTCAGGTTTTGTGGAATAGTTAGGTGAATATTTAAAGGTGAGTGAAATTTTTAAAAAATAGGTTAAAAAAGAAGGAAAGGGAAGCTTGTTGCTTTTGATAGTTTTGTTGATTCCTCTGAAGTATGAGGAAGGAGTAAAATTTTAGGTTGGCAAAACAAAGTGGGAAGCAGAAAGAGAAGGAGTTAAGAAAATCAAATTTTTTATGCTTTATGTAACTATTAATTTCTTTATTTCTATTTTACCTCAGATTTACTCTTTAAGATCTATTCTTGGGGTGTTTGAGTGGCTCCGCTGGTTGAGCATCTGACTCTTGATTTCAGTTTGGGTCATGATCCCAGGGTCATGGATTGAGCCCCACATTGGGTTCCAGGCTCCAAGCAGAGCTTGCTTGAGATTCTTTGCTTTCCTTCGGCCTTTCTTCTCCACTTGTGCTTTCTCTCTCTCTCTCTCTAAAATAATAATTTAAAAAAAGTTAAAAAAAGGTCTATTCTTTATCAGTTATCTTTATCCCTTACCTCCTATTCTTTACAAGTGACCAACATAAGTATAAATTAAGAGGTTAACAGAAATATCTTTAAAAAACTAAAATATTCGTTTAAAAAAAATCCTAAGAGGCCAAAATAAACAGGGCAGACAGGAAACAAAAGGAGTTATAAATAAAAAGTTATTAATGATAATGTTTATAAAATTAAACACAAACACCAGATTCTAGAAAAATACACATAAATCACTTAAAAGTGCAAATGTAAATTTCTATATGGTACTCGGCAGAAATATAATTAGATAAAGTGTACCATGATACCCATACATTGTACAGCTAGAAATAAAAACTATAATGGCAAATACCGGAACCACAGAGGCCAAATAGGAACTTTATTTCATATTTAAGATACATGAAAATGTCTTTCTTCAATAGTGGAGAAAATTAAGGAAGATATTACCAGACATAATGAAATGAGAAAATCACTTTCTTCACAATACTTATGGAAATGATACATAAAAACATTTAAGAAGAAAGTCAAATAAACATTATTGCATGCCACAAAATCTATTATAGTACATAGTAAACTATAAAGACAACCATAAATGCATTGTCAGCTGTGATATGAATAAGTTACATGGAAATAGAAATGATGGATATGGAGATTTTGTAGAATTTTGAAATTTTAGCCATGGTAGATTATAAAATTATGGTGTAGAGTAATTATAGAAAATTCCTACTCAGTACATATGGTATTATAATTTCATTCATCCAACAGAAATATAATTAGGAATATAAAAAGGAAAAGCTTAAAGTAAAAAGCCAATATCACTAAAAGATTTAATAGGAAAAAGGAGTAAGATGGGTTATTTTAAAATTGGAAAGCACAAATAATAAAGATCTCTTTCATATCCCCCTTCCCTCACATCTAATAGGTTTCTGAGTCTTATTCTAGAGAATTCTTAAGTATGTGCCTCTCAGTAGAAGTCACAGTCATGGTTTACTCTTGGGACAATAGTTGCTCCCTGTCCCTCCAGCCTTGTCACTTCCTTCCAGTCCATTCTCTATACTGGGAGTTTGATATTTTGAAAAAGCAGATCTGATAAAAAAAAAAAAGTTGATTGGTTGCATATTATGGACCTAAAGGATTATTATCATTTTCTGATGTAGACTGGGGCATGTTGCATATTTAAACGAAATAGAATTTAAACGAAAATATTAAAGTTTGACCTCACATTTGTGTTGAACTTGAAAGTTTATAGATTGCCTCCACATTATCTTATTTAATCTTCAGAACACAGTGAATTAATTTATAATATTAATTTTATAATGAGAAAATTATGTGTACAGCATGTGGAGGATAGTTAATAATGCTGTATTGCATATTTGGAAGTTGCCGAGAAAGTAGATCTTAAAAGTTCTCATTGCAAGAAAAAGGAATTTGTTACTGTGTGAGGTGATGGATGTTAACTATAAGACTTATTATGGTGATTATTTCACAATATATGCAAATAGTGAATCATTATGTTGCCCACCTGAAACCAATGTGATGTTAAATGTCAATTGTATCCCAGTGATTTAAACAGAGGGAAAAAAAGAGGGGCATCCTTGTGGCTCTCAGTCAGTTAAGCATGCTACTGTTGGTTTTGGTTTAGGCTCAGGTCGTGATCTCACAATTCTGTGAGTTTGATCCTAGAGTTGGGCTTTGCGCTAGCTGTGCGGACGCTCTTTGGGATTCTTTCTCTCTCCTTCTCCCTGTCCCTTCCCCACTCGCATTATTTCTGTTTCTCTCGAAATAAATATAAAAAAATAAAAAGAGGGGAAAAAATAAATGGAGTTTAAGCTAGCAGCTAGCAAAAGCCAAGACTCAGAACTCCTCCTGCATGCTGCATACAGCTTTAACCTGAATAAATGGTTACTTAAGGGTATAGGAGAGATACTTTTAGACCTCTTAGTTTTTAGTTTCTATTTGTAACCAAGGAGCACTTGTTTGCACTGGAGACCTCTTGTGCACACAGCCCAACAACTTCACTGGGAGAAGGGTTTGAAAAAATCAGTTGTTTCTCCTGTCTACTTCTTCCTATCTATCCTCTATACTGGATACAGTTGTTAGATTACATATTAGATTTTTTAAAATATGGATTTTATATCCAGTTATATCTTGCAAATGTAAATAATTATGAGGGTGCCTGCAAGCCAGTATATTACAGTACTTTATGAATTATGATAAACCACATTCTTGTTTTGACTCATGAAGTGTCACTGAGTATCTATGTATAGGTACCTCATGAATTCTGTCAGTAATTTTTCAATACAGTGCCTGGCCCACGGTAGGCACTTGATTTGTATTTGTCATTATATGACTTAGGCTGTGTTCAGGTGCAAGTAGGAAAAGACTCCTTTCAATGTTATTTACATAATAAAGACATTCATAATCCTGTACGACGACAAGAAAACTGATGTCAGGCAGTTCTGCAGGCTCAGCGAAGCTTTCAGGAAATTCTGCTTTTCCCATCTTTCTCTTTGCAAGCCTCAGTGTGTGACTGAGCTAGGCCTACACTCAGTAATTGACTCCACCTCAGTCTAGTCTGTTGCTAGTTGGGTTTTGTTTGTTTGATTTAACAACAATAATAGAGTCTGTTTATTCAGCACTTACTTCAGGGCTACACCTATATTCTACATAAATTTTCCTCTTGTACTCACCTGATTAGTTAATATAAGTTCAAAACTAGTTTGGGTGAGATAAAAATAATTTTTTTTCCTTTCATTCAGGGATCTTTTATAAAAGAGGTGAAATGTACATAACATGAAAGTAATCATTTCAAAGACAATTCAATGATATTTAGTATATTTGCTATGTTACACAACCAGCACCTCTGTCTAGTTCCAAAACAGTTTTATTATCCCAAAAGAAAACTACTCATTAAGCAATCACTTCCACTTCTCCCCTCTCTCCTCCCCTGACAACCACCAATCTGTTTTCCATCTCTATGGATTTACCTATTCTGGATGTTTCATATAAATGGAATCATATAATATATGACTTTTTGTGTGTGGCTTCTTTCACATAGCATAGTTTTGAGCTTCATCTATGTTGTAGTGCATATCGGTATTTCATTCCCTTCTTTGGCTGAGTAATCTTCCACTGTATGTAAATACCTCATCTTGTTTATTCATTCACTCATTGATGGACATCTGGATTGTTTCTTCCTTTTGCAGTTGGGAATGGCACTGCTGTGAACATTCATATACAAGTATTTGTTTAGTACCTGTTTTCAATTTGGGGGGTGGATGTATTCATAGAAGTAAGATTGATGGATAATTCTGTGTTTAAATTTTGTAGAGCCATCAACCTTTTCCACAGTGCCTGTATCGTTTTACAACCCAACACGCAATGTACAAGACTCCAGTTTCACCACCTCCTCACTAACACTTGCTATTTTTCCTTTCCTTTGGATGATAGCCATCCTAGTGGGTGTGATGTGGTATTCATTGTGGTTTTGATTAGCATTTCCCTAATGACTGATGATATTGAGAATCTTTTCTTATTCATATTGTCCATTGTTGCTACTTCTTAATATAAACTCCCTGATTCAGTCAAACCCTAATTTTTGCCATTTTGCTCTCAACAACTTCTTTGCTCATGATTTACCTCACCGAGATGCCATGCTTCTCCCACATGCAACTTCTTTTCCTTGGTGAAGTCTCCCTCGTGATTCTAGGTTCCCGATAATAAGTACTATTAGGAGATCATATGTGATCTCTCTTGTATATTAAAAGCTTCCAAATAATATATTTATGTATAAACTGTAATGCAATTTGAGAGACTCCTGGAAATAAGTACAACACAACAACAGTCATGCTTTTTTGTAGAAATTGTGCTGTTTCGAGTAGGCATTTTATAATAAGTAGGGAAGAAAAGGTTTGGGTTTAGGAGCCTATTTAGCATTCTGGGGGGGGGGGAATCTTGTGACTCTAATTATATTAACTCTGATAGCTATATACTTCACTTTAGACTTTGCTAAATTATTTTAAATTTCTTTCAGCATATTATGACAACACCATTTTTCATAGAGTTGTACCTGGTTTCATAGTCCAAGGGGGAGATCCTACTGGCACAGGGACTGGTGGAGAGTCTATCTATGGAGCCCCATTCAAGGTGAGACTGAATTTTTATTGTTATTTATTTGCAAATCAATTTGGATTCCTTAATTGAAAATCACTGTGCCCCTGGTGAAAAAACTACATTTCACATTACTGCACAAAATCTGGTATTTATCACATGTTTGGGATTATAAGGGATAAGAGCAGCACTTACCCTATCAAGCATTCTTACAGAATTGTCTTATTGCTGACTTTTTTGCTAGATTGAATTCAGGTAGAGCTAATGGTGGTAGTGAGGAAAATGTGAGTCAGAAAAAAAGACTACGTAACATAATTCTTGATAGCTGACTGTATCTGATATCTACAACTCTGTAAATGTAAAAAGGTTTTAGAACATTTCATATGCCATTTTATTTTAAAATATTTTATTTAATACTGTATGGAATTTATATTAATCTGCTTGGACTGTTACAACAAAATACCACTGACAGGGTGACTTAAACAACAGGAATTTGTTTGTCACAGTTCTGGAGGCTAGGAAGTACGGATCAGCTGGCTGGCATTCAATTTCTGGAGAAGGTTCTCTTCCTGGCTTGTCAACGGCCGCCTGCTCGCTGTGTCTTTACATGGTAGAGAGAGTGAGCTCTGGTGTCTCTTCCTCTTTTTATAAGGACATCACCGCTATTGGATTAGGGCTTCACACTTATGACATCATTTATCCTTTATTATCTCTTCATAGGCCCTGTCTCTAATACAGTCACACTGGGGGTTACAGCTTCAACCTATGAATTCTGGGGAGACACAATTTGGTCCAATGCAGAATTCATTCTTAATTGTGCACAGTAGACCCCTGTAGTGGAAAATGCATTACACAACAGGAAATCACAAAGGGACAGAAGAAAGAATTAACATAAAAAGTGTTAGAAAAAAGTGTATTAATCAAAAATAGGTCAGTGATGGGGCACCTGGGTGGCTCAGTCTGGTAAGCATCTGACTTTGGCTCAGGTCATGATCTTACGGCTCAGCTTGTGAGTTCTGAGCCCTGCAGCAGGCAGGCTCTGTGCTGACAGCTCAGACCCTGGAGCCTGCTTCAGATTCCGTGTCTCCATCTCTCTCTCTCTGCCCCTCCCCTCTGTGCGTGTGCGTGCACAATCTCTCTCTCTCTCTCTCTCTCTCTCTCTCTTTCTCTTTCTCAGAAATGAATAAACATTTAAAAAAATTAAAAAAAGAATAGGTGATTGATTTGTTAACTGCCAACACAGAACTAAAAAGAAAAAATGAGTTAATGTCCTAGTTAAGGTTATAAATCACAGAGGGTTCAAGTAAACACTAAATGTTGTTGTTTTTTTATCTGATGGTGCTAATATCATGTTCTTTGAATGAGTAAACATCATTAGTTCTTAAAGTAAGAGAATTTTTGAAGACATCATGTTTTTACTAATGAGATAGAGGGTCTGGAGTTTCTTTTAATTTTTTACTGGGTCACTGTGTGATTCTTGAGAACAACACTTGAACTGCTTGCTTTAATTTCCAGATGATAATGGCCTTAGAAAATGAGGAATGGTTATAATAAAAAAGTCTCAAATGTCACTATAAAACTATTTTGTATTTTACCAAATTGAGATGTCTCCGGATTTTGGAGCTTCCATCTAGTAGGAAGCATTCCTTTATTCTGTTATTCAGTGTAACAGAATAGCTCTTTTTGACAATTTCCTTCTAAATTGAGATTTTTGCCTATTATGTCCAGGTAATATGGTTACCTTGTTAAGTTTTTTAGTTAGGTCATTTTTCATGGGGTATACAGAGTTAGAACTCTTTGAGTTCAAATCTTTGACAATTATTTATTAAGGAAAAATAACTTTCTTTCTGAAAAGCATTGATTACATAACATGGCTATATTATAAATGAGTCTAGCATCAGGCCTGGAATGAAATTCTGTTAACGGAGAGACTAATGTAGGCTATGGAGCCCTCCCATAGCAAGAAATTCACCTTAGAAAGGCTTGCTCTTGCTCTTTGGAAAACTGGCAAATGGGACCAGTGCTTGTTCAGAAAAGATTTAACAAAGACCTGTAAAAAACAGAGTAAAACAATTTATAGTAGTTTCCTTGAATTAAAAAACAAGAAGAAAGCAATTTTTTCATGACCTTTAGAACAGAGTGGGGAAGGGCAGTAGTTGAAGACTCTGTCATGATTCAAAGGTAGGTTTTTTTGGAGAAAAAAATAGAAGGTTCTAAAAAGTTAGATTACTTTGAGGGATGTGAAGAATAGGGGAATGAGTTTGAAATCACTTACCCTTTGAATGTCTTCTTCTGTGTAAATATGGGCAGCTTTCCCATAAAATAGGCTAAATTTGTGGTTGTGTATATTTAGAAGATACTTCCAGGCTAGTGAAGTCAAGTTTAATAGCATCGAGGGAATAAATACTGGATTTGCTTATACTTGAAAATCAGTTAAATAAAACTTTAGCATTTTTGATTAGAAGTTGTATAGAACCTTGTTTACTGACTATGAAGGTCCTTATAACTGAGATCATTCACTAAACTTTTTTTTTTTTTTTAATGCTTCAGGATGAATTCCACTCACGGTTACGTTTTAATCGGAGAGGGCTGGTTGCCATGGCAAATGCTGGTCCTCATGATAATGGCAGCCAATTCTTCTTTACACTGGGTCGAGCAGATGAACTTAACAATAAGCACACCATTTTTGGAAAGGTTTGTGTCCAGTTATCTTCAGCTTCTATGATACATATGGCCAACTTATCTAGGAGTTGCCCTCATAAAAATATTCCCTGGGTTATTTTTTTATTATTTCTAAAAATGGTGGAATATATCCCTTTTATAGTGAACTATGAAGGACCATCTGAACTTTATGTGTGTATGTTTCAAATAAGTCATTGATTATAACTTTAAAATTTTCCTTTTTCTAAAACATACCGATGGTATTAGCTACTGCATCACTCAGCTAATATTATTTCTACATTCTTAGAAACCTAGGCATTATCTAGGTAACAAGATTTAGTAGTTTTAAGTTTTCCTTAAAGTTTAAAGTGGAAATTGTGTTAACATTAAAACTTTTTACCTGAAATACTACTTTGAATAGGAGCTATTTAATCCTCCTCACGTTTAGCATCATATGAGGGAATATCATTTCCGTAGAATTTTGAACCGTTTTGTTTAAAGGAGGATTCTGACCGTTTTGTTTTCTCACTTTCTCTTCTAATTCCCACATTCCCACATGTGTTAAGTCTTAGGCATGTTACACATCCCTAGTGTATCAGCTCCCTCTGCTGGTTCAGTAGGAATGGTTTCCCCACAGCCTAGATGAGACTGGATTTTCTGATGATGAAGAGGAAAAAACAAACTGAGCACAACTGGAAAACTGGTATTGCTTTAAAACTCCTGAGAAATGTTGAATGTAAGGACTCATGCTGAAAACATGTAGTACAATATTGTTGCTTAAAACTTAACAACGTAGCTTAAGAAATAAGCATTGGCACATTTGAACCACTCCAGCACAGGTTATCTGATGTTCAACGATTTTCCTTCCTGTTATTAAAAAAAAAAGTAACAGCATATAATAAAATGAGATTTAGGTTGTCATTGTGAACCACTTTTTACAATTGCTATTATATACCTTTCGCACTGGAGACAAAGTATAGCTGAGTGATGAGAATTCAGAAAGGCCAACACTGTCGCTGTGTAACTTCTTTGAATCTCAATGTTCTTCTCTAGATAAGGAGTATAAGGCCCTGTATTTAGGATGTTTATGAGGATTAAACAAGATAATATCTGTAAAGCACTTCCACGTGTTCTTATTTGCTTGTTCTGCCCAATTCTAAAATCTAAATTTATTATTTTTTTTAATGAAAAGTTGTCATTCAGTAGGAGGTTACCTGGCATTATATTTTTATTTTTAATGAAAACTGATATTATATATATATATATACATATATATATATATATATGAAATTTCATAAAAATGTTAGCAAGGGATTGAACTCCATTTCTCCTTTTCCCCCTTAATATTAAGATGAAATTACTTTATTTGCATTATTACTACATATGCTCCTATATAAAAATATGAAATTTCCTTTTAGTTACTGAAAAAAATATTTTCAGAAGTCTTCCTTTATTTCAAAGATGAATATAGGGGCGCCTGGGTGGCTCAGTTAAGGTCCAACTTTGGCTCAGGTCATGATCTCGCGGTACGTGGGTTCGAGCCCCACGTTGGGGTCTGTGCTGACAGCTCAAAGCCTGGAGCTTGCTTCGGTTCTGTGTCTCCCTTTCTCTCTGCCCCTCCCCCACTCACGCTCTGTCCTCTCTGTCACTCAAAAATAAATAAACGTTAAGAAAAATTCAAAGAATAATTATAATAGTTTGCAGTTTTCTTATCTGATAGGTTACAGGGGATACAGTATATAACATGCTACGGCTAACAGAAGTAGACGTTGATGAGGAAGAAAGACCACGCAATCCACATAAAATAAGAAGTTGTGAGGTAGGAGCATGATTTCTAAGATACAGTGCTTAATTGATCATTTAAAAGAAACTGATTATTAGTATTTTAAACTAATGGATGGAGGCTTTATACTAAATCAATAGTACAACTCCGATTTTATCTGTGTAATTTAGGTGCAATTTCTGATTAAGAATTTTTTTTTTTTAATTGAAGGTTTGACTTCAAGGATGAGACTTTAGCTGATAATCCAATGCATGAAAAGCTTGATTTACAGTGGAAAGTTAGAGGAATTAGACTTACTTAGCTGAATGAAGTAACTTCCTAAGTAATTTAAGAGTGATCCTTCATTGAGGAAGCAAGGTCCTTAAGAGCATTTGCTTTGGGGTCAAAACCCTTGAGTTTGTCTTCCTTACTAGATATTAAGGTTTCTTGAATATTTTTCCTCTTTATAAAATAAGGATAAAATACACTCTACTTAATTGCACATAAGATTATTGAGAGAATACAATGGGACCATGTAAGTGGAAGCACTTTATGTAGTATATATATTAGACTTATAATAGTTATGTGAGCAAAAAATATAAATGCTAATGTCAACATAATTAAATATTGGTCTTAATTTTTTGTGAAGTTTTAAAAAATGGAATAATGTTTTCAAAATATTTTTTCATAGGTTTTGTTTAATCCTTTTGATGACATCATTCCCAGAGAAATAAAAAAGCCAAAAAAAGAGAAACCAGAGGAGGAAGTAAAGAAATTGAAGCCCAAAGGCACAAAGTAATCATAATAGAAACATTTTTCTTCAGATTGAAAAGCTGAAGAATTCATTTAATTCATTTTATTTCCTTTTGTAACAACTGTCTACTAGTGAAGGGGGAGGCCAGTGTGGGCCAGGAAGATATCTGAATTATGCGGTTTTTCCTAAAAATTCATTTCTTATATTTAAAAACTGTATATAACTTGAACTTAATCTGAAGAAGTATTGTGTCAGCTGTCTATATGAAATCTGTATTAATAAACAGATAAATATTTATGATCACTATAGCAATTATTTATATAAATGAGTTGAGAATTTTTGTTTTTTTTACTAATTTTTCAATTAATATATGCTCAGTATAAAGAACTTGGAAAGTAAAGTATGAATGATATAATGACTGCATGGTTACATAATTTTTCGCTCCTGTGTTGGAGTAAATAAGTTTCAGTATTTTGTCAACAGTATTTTTCACATTATTAGTTTTGTCTATTTTATAAAAATAGATATCAGAGAGTCAGATCTCAGCTTAATCTTTTAGTGATTTCCAGCATCCATATTAGTTATTTTATTTTATTCCTAAGTGATAGATTCAGACAGTTCTGAGTGTAATCCTGCCTCAGTTTATAAGAAGCAAAGTATGTTAATATTTCTGAGCCCCAGTTTCCCCATCTTGTAAAATGGAGGTTATAATTACAACACCTGGTTGTTATGAAGATAAAACAAGAAGAGGAATTTGAAAACACCCAGTGGTATGGGTATTCAATACATATTTGTTTCTTTTTGTGACATCCTACAATATAAGTTAAGTCACTTTTATAAACTGTCAAATATGAGCCACTTTAATAAGCAGTTGATGTCTTGTGGCAAAATAAATTCTTATATAGCTATATATTTGCTCTCCTATTTTTTGATTCATTTATTTTGAGTAGTTTATCTCTGAGTGAAAGGTCACTGTCACCATATTCAGATACAGTATTTCATCACTATTATTTATCTTGGCAACAAGCCTGAAAGCTATGTGTTTTTGTTTCTTGTTTGTTTTTAATTCATAGCAAATATCTTAGGGATGATTTGGTAGTCATTGATTGCATCTAGGTTTTGAAAGAAAATTCCTCTTTGTTGCCAAATCTTTTATTTTTCCAATACTTGAGAGAGAGTTTTAATAACTTATTATTTATCTTCCTTGAGATGTCTTTAATTTGAAGCCTCAGAGAAGACAGTTTCTTCTTCCCCATGGGCTCTTTTTTTGTTAAGATTATTGCTTATATTTTTTTTATTTGACAATTTTGCATAACTTTTATCAGTTTTTAAATTTTAAGACCTATTTTGGAAGATGCTAGATTAATTGCTTCCCATTTGTAGTGCTCTTGGGGCTATATATTTATTAGTTTTTCAGAAATCTCCATTTTGTTAACCAATATTTATATATATAAAAAAGCTTAATTATTTCTGTCATGCTTGACTTAGTATACTTAATGGTCGTGCTCAGGATGGATTTTAGTCATTAGTTTCATCTATTATGTGAAGTATCTATGGTCTGAAGCCAATGCCTTAACATTATGCTGAAAATACAGATCCTTAGTAGATTTCTGCTGAATCCTAAGTCATATTAGATACTGCTGAATGGTCAAAATGTGTTTCTTCTTGTATATTCTATTCTATTGCTTTGAAAATGCAATAAGTTTTGTTTAATTTTTTCTTAATTTTCTTTTTTCCTTTCTTTTTTTTTTTTTGATAAGAAATTTTAGTTTACTTTCATTTGGAGAGGAAGCTGAAGAAGAAGAGGAGGAAGTAAATCGAGTTAGTCAGGTACAACGCTAAGTTGCCCTTTGTTCTGAATTATAAAAGGTATTTTTGTATCTCCTGCTACATGTGGCACAGCAAGTTTTTCATAGTACACAGTCAGGAAGTGTTCGTCGAACTGATTTGTAAAATGACCTGTTGTTAGTAATATTTACAACTCCTGAGATGATATGCCCTCTTAAAATTGTAATTTCCTGGGGTTTTTTAACTTGGCTTTTTTTTTTTTTAATCAGTCAGAACTAGAGTTAAAGAATGACTCAACTTTGTGATTCAGATTTTAATTGCTATTTAAATGATTTGCTAGATGATAATGATTATGATCATTGTTATAATAAATAGTGACGGACCAAGGTCTTACATTCATTTTAATATTATCTATCTATATATTATTAATGTCATTAATTCTCATCACAGCCCTTTAAGATACATATTATCATTATCCCCATTTCACCCATAAATAATTAAGGTATAGATAGATTATAATTTGCTCACACAACTAGTAAGTAGCTAGAGCTGGGATTTGAACCTATGTCTGCCTCAGTATAAGATACATGTATTTGGATTATATATTGCCTCCTGGCCTTTGACCCTACCAGTGCTTCCATTAGGCCTATAAGTATCATTTTCCTGAATATCACTTTTATCACAGTATACATTGTGAACACCTATGGTGCCTTGCCATTATTTAGAGCAGTGAATCTGTTAAATATACCCCAAGAAAATCATCCTAAAGGGTTTGTACTCCCAAAGATTCTGGTATGTCTTCCCACGGATGATGAAGAAATTATGGATATTTATTTAGAGAATCAAATTGGGGAGGGATGGGAAGGATGGAAGGAAGGGGAGGGAGGACTGCCTTTGATACAGCAGTTTGGTACATTATAATAATAGTGGAGGGTTGAAATGCAGAGTTTTTAAAAAGGGGACAATTCCTGTTCTTAGATCTGTTTGTAAAGAAAACCATAATGCCTTTAAACCACTCTTCTGTAAATAGATTACCTTTTTGCAGTGTTTAAAAAGAAAGAAAGAAGATTAGTGAACATGGAAACCTAAAGGATTAGGTTCAAAGTTTTATCATAGTAATTAAAATTCTATAACTTAGCACTGCCTTATTTGCTTAGAAATAGTTACCTATTTCTAACCAACAGTAATGACAGCATTGATTTAAAAGCACATTATTTTTACCCTTGTTTTTAATTCTTTATCCATATACTTCCCTCATCACTTTAGATCCTCTCCCCTTTCTCTCTGCCCCTCCACTGCTCATGCTCACACACACCTCTCTCTCTCTAAGATAAATAAACATCAAAAAAAAAGTTAAAAAAAGAGAAATGTTCTGGTCATAATTTTTGTCTTGCTGTCTTCAGTGTCCTTGAGTGATATGTTTGATACCATGGATTCAGCTACCACCTGTATGCTAATAATTCTGAACTCTAGGAACACAGCCCAATATTATTTCTGGGCTATTATCCCACATTCTTGATTTTTTCTCTAGGAAACATCTCTACTTCAGGTGTCAAAGTTAAATACATCTTTATATGAAAACCTCCTTTCTTTAGGCCTGTTCAGTATCATTGATCACTCTGGCACCCCAGTATGTCTGAAGTTATCTTCTTTAGATGTCAGAGCACTAGTTTTGCATTATTCATGATTCAAATTTGTGCCTTATTAAAATGAAAGATATACTTCATGTCATGATCCTGTGGGTATATTTGTAAATGGACAAAACCACAGATGTCAGATCTGGAAGTTGCCAGGAGTCCCTTTCACTGATGTTTTCTGAAGATGTCAAGTTTCCTTACATACCCATGCCTTCCCCACAATACCCCCACTCCTGTTTCTCGTTTTGTCTGGAGTGTCTTCTCCGTCATTTGACTCCACTAGATTTAGCTCCACTATAAATAAATATTTATTTTATGTAATCTCTAAAATGGCCATGTGATATAGATATTATTCCTATTTAAGCAAAGAAATCAGTACTCAGAAAGGCTAGGTCACTGTGCAAGACCAATGTAATTAAGAGGTAGTAAAATCAGAGTTTTGGTCTTAGGTTTCTATAGCCATTTAAGTCTCTAATACGATTCAAGTGCTCAGAAGCTGCTCCTCCCAGCCGAAGCCATCTAGAAGGCTGGTGGGAAATTGCATTGGTGGCACAGCATTCTGGGGTGGAAGGCAGCTCAGTGCACCTGGCCCCCTGCTGTTGCCTAACTCCCACAGGGTCCTGGACATCAGGCTGAGCAGCCTTGGAGACAGAGCCAGGGTAGGAGAAAGGAGTTCTTCTATCATTCTTTTTGTCAAATTAAATTTCTAGTCTGAAGTAAGTTTTGTTCAGTAAGTTTAGGATTGACTTTACTAGGAAATTAGTTTGAATTTTTTCTATTTGTAACAACAGTATGTGTTACATGTTTAAAGCATATCTTCTGCTGCTGCTGCTTACTATTATTGTACATAGTAAAACAAACAAAATGTTTAATTTACACTGAATATCGTGAACTTGATAAAAGCAATTTGTGTTTGCTACAAGGTTGAAATGCAAAAGGAGAGCACTGCAGATAGTGTTGTCTTGCCCTTTATGTTTGCTCTCAAACCTGAAAAACACTTCACACAGTGGAAAGACTAAATTCGTTCCTTTTTGCCAAGAAAATTGCAAACCACAGTCCATTATCAAATGAATAGTATAGGCCTAGTATTGTGTCATCATATTTCTCTCATCTGACTCTGTGCTGTGTGATAAAATTATCAAATGTTTGTTTCTGACCCTCAAATCTGTATCTTTTAGTTGGCTTATTCTTCTTTTCACCAGCTGCCTACTGGCCATCTCTCTCTATTTGAATATCTTACTAGTAACCCAAGCCCTAGCCAAGGCTTAGTTCATTATCTTTGTTTTCCAGACTTCTCCCTGTTCTGTGACTTCTTTTTCCACTCCCTGGTATCAGTATCCTCTAAAGAAAAATTTTAGATTCTGGTGTTTTTCTTACTTTTTTCTCTGCAAAACCAGTTTGTTGTAGTATGCTACCAATTTTTCATCCATAACATATCTTAAATCTATTTTTCCTTTTAATTTTTTTTGCTACTACCCTCATTCAGGCCTTCATTTCTAGCCTGGGCTGCTGCCTTAGTCTATAGACTGGTCTCCCAAGTTCTTACTCTTTATTCTCTTTCACTCAGAACAGTTTTCCTGAAACCCTGAAACCTCTTTAAGATGTCACAGTTACACTCTGTTAACTCTAGAAGTAAGGCCATGATCCCCCTTTACCAATTCTGCCCTTTGGTCTAATACTTCTTCTTCTTCTTCTTCTTCTTCTTCTTCTTCTTCTTCTTCTTCTTTTTTTAATGTTTATTTATTTACTTTGAGGGAGAGAGAGAGATCGCAAGCAGCGGAGGGGCAGAGATACAGAGAGAGAGAGAATCTTAAGCAGGCTCTGCACTGCCCAGAGCTCCATGCGGGACTCAATTTCACCAACACTGAGATCATGACCTGAGCTGAAATCAAGAGTCAGACGCTTAACTGACTGAACCACCCAGGCGCCCTTGTCTAATACTTCCTAAACCATTTAAAACCACTGGAAAATAGGTCCAATACTTCCTTAAAAATTAAAAATTACATTCCTACACCCCATTTCAGACCTACTGAATCAGAATCTCAAGGAAGGGGCCTGAGAAGCTGTACTTTTAATGAATTCCCTGGAATTCCTATCAGGGAAATGTAGGAAACACTGTTAGCAGACCTGAACTATTTGCTGTTCTACATAAATGTTTTGTATTTTCTTTTCTGTGTGTCTTTGTTCACGTTTTTCACCTGCCTGAAGTCCTATCCCATTCTGGATGTCAAAGTCACACTTATTTTCAACACCTAAAATACCATCTTTCTAAATGTCTTTTCTTAATTGTTTCTTTTTCTGATCTAACCTTTGCTTCTCTTGTGACAGTTAACATTTTCCTTTTAATAACATCCATTTTGTTTTATTATACAAGAAATATGTGACTATGTTCTCACTGTATACTACTCAAACATTATACCCTTTTCTTTCTTCTATATTAAGTGTGTAGAGTTCTGGGCTGTGGGCTCTTTGATGGTAAACTGTGTCATCTTTGAGTGACAGTAGTTGGAGTAGAGATAGCATGGATTTGGGATCATACACACTCATATTGGCACTTTGCTTTCCACTGATACTTTGTGACCTTTACTTAGTCTCTCCGAGCCTTACATCTCCTCCTTGTAACATGAAAATACTCTGAACCATTTAGATTGTGAAATAAGGACGTGGGTAGTCATTACTTCGATACAATATGCAGTCTTGGAAAATGTTTTTGAAAGTCAAATGTCTTAAACAGTATACTCTATGTTATAATCTGTATTATATTCTCAGAGAGCTAAAGAATATCAAACAGTCTCTAATATGATTGTGAGTATTATTCAGACGCTGCTGCCCTCATGTTAAAGCAGTCTAGAGGGTTGGGTTGGCAAAAAACTTCACCAACAATTTGGGGTTGGAAGCCTTAACTCCACACAACTGCCCTAGTGCTCTTACTGAGCACTCCCTGGGGCTCCTGGATCGTAGCTTGAGCAGCCTTGAAGGCATCCTGTACATCATGACCCACCAACAACCCATTCTCCACATGGGAATGGGTCTCGGCACACTGTGCAGAATCTTTGGCTTACTGAATTTAGCTATTTGGTCTGTTTATATAATGGAGACATGAATAAGTTTAGTTTGAGAAAATACAACAACAATAAAAAATCATTGCAGGTTGTTGACTTAGAGGAAAGGAAATTCTCTAGAGGGCATGAGACAAACTCTAGAGCCAAAAAAAAAAAAAAAAAAAAAAAAAATGGAAGTAGATTTTATATATTTTCCTTTTGTACGGTTCTTCAGACTTTGAGAACTGTTCCAATACAGTTTACCTTTGGGGTTAAATGAGACCTTGCTAAGAAAAATGAATGCTAGCCTGAATATTGGAAAAGTATGACCAATAGATAAAAGTAAGACTTACTGTTTTTAAATGTATGTAATAATTAGAACCAAAGTCAAGTTAGTGTCTTTTACAATGACCAAGAACAATTTTCAGTTTCACTGGATGGATGAAATTAAATATTTCTAGAAGTCTTGAAAATAATTGTTTCATTATTCATTTGCTTATCAAGTTCATTGACTCCACAGTGTGTTAAGCTTTATTCCAGAACCTGTCTAACATCACAAGTTAATAATGCTGAAGTCTGAACTGGGGCTTTGGGGTTTTACTTTATGTGAAAGTAGAAATAAGATAGAACCCCTCTGGTTTATGGATTATCAGTGTGGGATTACAGAGACAACTTCACCCCACTCATTTATTCCTGACAAAGTACCTCTCCCACATGGGTTAGCTTTCCTTCATTATTTATTTCAGTATCTTTCTATTACCTGATAAAATCTCTTTTAGAATAATAGAATTTTACAGCTCAAAGGGATCTAGTCCAACTTCCTTCCTTTATAGATGAGGAAACTGAGACTCTAGTTAAGTGACTTGCCAGACTGACTTCATTTCCTTTTTGATAGGATTGCATGATAGGAGGATGCCATAATAACGTATCTTGAGTTCTGGAAAGCATACTGTCAGAGTCTTGTGGACAACACGAGGAAATGTGATCTGGGAGATATTATAGTCAGATGGGTTTATAGTTGATTGAATACTTCTGCCCAAAGAGTGCTTTGTTGTCAACCTGTGCATGATTATTTGAAGTAGGAAGTTAAAGTGGAATAGGAGTACACGTAAATTCTGTACTTGAACTTAATGCAATCAGCTGAATAGGTATAAGACTTTATAGGCCATAAGTCCTAGTTGAATTATGAAGAGTAAGATCTCTGAATAAGGAATTTAACATTCTTTGCATTTGGGGGGATCACATTTGCAGCATTTTGTTCAGTTCAGAACACATTTAAGAAGGATACTGACAAACCAGATGCATTCAGAGGAAGGGAGGATCTTGCGGAGGATGGGGATGAAGCCAAAAACCATTGCACATGGAGAATGCTTGACGAGCTGGATATACTTTGAAGATGTAAAAACTAAGTGAAAATGTGGTCCTAGGCTTCAAACATTTGGAGAGTTTTTATCTGGAGGATCCCTGCCTTTGTTTTACTTTCTTAAATAATAGTTTTATTCAACTGTCCGTACTGGTTTAAAGTTTACTCCCAAATCTTTGTGTCTAATTTAAAAACAGATGTCAGAAACTATTTTTCATGTGAAAGTCTACAATCAAACAAGCAGTTTTCAATGAGGCAAGTTAAGTGGTAGTTTCATTATAAAGGTATCTCAATAGCTAGATTTAAAAAATAGTGAGTAAACTGTGCCACATTCACAGTGATACACATAGCATTTCTCTCACTGCAAGATATGCTAACATTTTTACCTCAAATCCCAAGTTATAAAAAGACTCTTTTTCTCACCCATAAAAAGTTACATGGATGGACAAATATACCACTTTTGAGAATAAAATAAGAATGCTTTGTCCTATTCTCATTTATTCCAAGAAATTAAAGTCTCCCAAAAGCTTGGATCTGGGGGTACACACAGCATGAAGACTGCTGCCAGGCCTTTTGCACAGAAGTTGTCAGAAATGTTGAACAGTCTAATTTACAAACTGTTCTGGCCTGATTAAATTGTATTAAACTTTACTTGTCCTAGTTGTTTATACTTAACTAGTTTTAAAAAGATGTTAATATATTTGTATTCATCTCATTTTTCTGCTGTAACTAATGACTATCAATTTAGTGGTCTGAAGCAAAACAGATTTTATATGGTACATTTCTGGGGTCACAGGTCCAAAACAGGTTTCCCTGGGCTACATACTGGGGTATTGGCAGGGCTTCCTTCCTTCTGGAGGTTCTGGGAAGAATCTCTTCCCTTCACTTTTCCACCTTTAGAGCTCATTTGCATTCCTTGGCTTGTGGCCGCTTCCTCTAGCTTCAAAGCCAACAACAGCCCATAGAGTCTTTCTCATGCTTTATCATTATGGGATGGACTCTCCTGCCTCCCTCTTTCACTTGTAAGGACTCTTGTGATTACATTGGATGTACCCTGATAAACCAGGATAATCTCCCCATCTCAGAATCCTTAATTTATCCACAAAGTCCCTTTTGCCATGTCAGGTAACATATTCACAGGCTTTGAGGACTAGGATGTGGACATCTGTAGGGGGTCATTATTATACCTACCAATCTCTTTGTATTTAAACTGTACTCTATTCACTATACCTAATAGCAGACATTGCTTGTAGTTTGTTTTAGTTTTAGAAGGTAAAACTAGGACTGGTTGGATGGTTAGAAGTTGCACGTGGATTTTTTCCCCTCCAATTAGAAAGAGAACTGTCCAACAAGAGAAGACTAGAAGAATTTAAAAAGGGTGGTGTGTGTGTGTGTGTGTGTGTGTGTGGTGTGGTTGTAAGCTCCTTTCAGGTGTTGAGATACTGGTTAACTAGTCAGCAGTGATGTCAAGGAGATTCCTGCTTTGGGTGAGAGACTAGATTAAGTGGCATATGAGATCTTTATTTTTCAACTATTAACTCTGGTTCTGTGCTAAAGGTCAGAGAATGTGATCGGGTTCTTCAGAGAAACAATACATGTATATGTGCAGTTCTGTGGTAACTTATTTTGAAGGATGTATCATTTTTTGGAAGAAAAGGTGTTTTTAAAATAATATTTTCTGTCAATGCAAGAGTTAGCTTCTTACTTATAAAGCTTTAATTTATGCTGAAAATTTCAGGAACATATATCTTTTGCTAGCCACATTACAGCAGTACTAGATTTTATGTAAATTTGTTAACTTGCCCTTTTGGAAGACTATTTTATTTCTTCCTCACTTATGATTATATCATGTATTTCTTCCTAGAGCATGAAGGGAAAAAGCAAAAGTAGTCATGACTTGCTTAAGGATGATCCCCATCTCAGTTCTGTGCCAGCTGTTGGAAGGTTAGTATGCTACCAATGTGATCTCAAATCCTTATTTTCTGGCTCAGATATTTTCTCGCTGCTTTGTGACAAAATGCTCTGTTCTCTTAAATCCAGTTTTTTCCACTCAGACAAAAAACAAAAGCATTTTGGTGATGGAGATAGTAGAGGTTCTAGTATAATGGAGGGAAGCACACTGGCCTCTTGCACTCATCTTACTATCTATCTCTGTTGAACTAATTAAATTTAAAATTAAGTGCTAAACTTTTAAATCTTGGGATAGTTTGAATAGGAAACTGTTTGCTTTTTTTTTTTAAAGTTTAATGTTTAATTCAAAGTTGCTTTGAAGCATTTTGTACCAGTTGGTATGATGAGTAGACAAATCAGAGTTGAAAAGTTTTGTGAAGTCACTGTATTTTAGACCAATTCATTGAGTATTTTTTTCTGACATATTTTAGGAGTTAACAGAAAACTCTCTATCTTTGTTGCTTCTCTCTGAGAAGGGAGGATGTATTACTGTTAAATACAACTGCACATGATATTGGGACAATGTCTCAAATGGGGATTAAAACACTATTGTACTGAATTTAGCTTGTGTTACAAAATTCTATTTCAAAAAAATCTTTTCTTAATATCCTGGTAGTTTAAGGATTTGGCCTTTTCAGCCAGAATATGTCAAGCCAATGGAAGAAATTGTTTTCTCAACTCCTCTGTTCATAAAAATATCACTATTGGTTGTTATTTGCTTTTTTCTGTTAATTCTAGTGAATTTTTATATGTGCTAATTGGGCATACTTATTATTCTATTTGTAAAAATGAATCTCTTTTAGAATGTTTCTGTTTACTCTACAATGCCATTCTGAAATTCCTATATTTTGAACTGTTAATCCCAGCAAAATATTCTAAATTTTGATTAGTGAATAATTTTATTAGTTTCATTTTGAAGGTAAACTTTACTTGCTTTCATTTTTTTGTAGCGAAAAAGGTGATGCAGCAGGAGATTCAGCTAATGTGAGTCTTAATCTTACTATAAATATAGTTTGAACAATTAAAAAAATTTTAAAGATCTGAAAACTAAATCATTTATTTTGATTGAAGTATTTCCTTCCAAGTGTGCATGTAGATGTGTATTTCCCTACAAACTGAAATCATACGTATATGAATTTCTAGCCCATTTTTCTCCCTCTCACTACTAGAATACTCAAAATTCTGATGTCATTGATTTTATTTCATTGTGTTAAAAGTTTAAATGTTGGGGTGCCTGGGTGGCTCAGTCGGTTAAGTGTCTGACTTCGGCTTAGGTCATGATCTCACGGTTCGTGAGTTTGAGCCCCGCGTCGGGCTCTGTTCTGACAGCTCAGAACTTGGATCCTGCTTCAGATTCTGTGTCTCCCTCTCTGCCCCTTCTCTGCTCACAGTCTGTCTCTCACTCTCTCAAAAATATGTAAACATAAAAAAAAAAAATTTTTAAACAAAAGTTTAAATGTTGATGCGTGGGCATCCTACACAGCGTATGGGAAAATGCTTAGATCAGTCATTTATAGCAGTATTCCTTAATGTACACAATTCAGAAGATTCTCGTTCAAGACTATAGCGATCTTTATTAATTGTATTGGCTATTAAAGCTGATTATAAAAAAGACCTAAAGGAGGTGTAAGAGCAAGCAGTGCAGGTGCATAGAATTTGGGTGTTTCTGAATGGAGAGAATGCCAGCGCTAAAGCTGACTGGTGTTGCTGGCCTGGAGTTGTAGGAGATTGTGTCAGGGAGTACAGACTGTACAGGGTCCTGAGTGAGTTGAGGGTCCCCTGGAGGATTCTGAGAAGGGGAGTAATTGCTGTGACTTCAATTATAGTAAGAAATCTAAGCTTCTCCACCTTCTCCTCATCTACTTGAATTAATCTCTGGTTGAGGTCGGTATGCTGGCCAGCTGCCTGCAGAAGTTACATTTCCCCTGGGAAAGAACAGGAATGTGGACAACACAATACCCTGGGTGATACAGAGGGAGCACGGCCTGTGCTGCACGGAGGGGCTGTGTGTGAAGGGAGCAAACACTCCTTACTCAGGTATCCCATACTGATGTAGTTGGCCTACAGCAGACCATACGGGTATTCCCGCCTGTAGCAAATGCTTCGAGTCCTTACTAATTTAAAATAAAAAAACAAAACTGGCTTAGAATGCAATGTGGACAGTCGGAGATGGATTTCTGGTGGTGTGAGGGGATGTGGGATGCCTAGCAAATACTGCATTTCAATTTCTACAGGATGGAGAATATGAAGGTGCAGAGCATGATGAATATAGTGATGGTGATGGGAAGAACCTGATGAGAGAAAGGATTGCAAAAAAATTAAAAAAGGACACCGGTGCAAATGTGAAGTCCACTGGAGAGGGAGAAGTGAAGAAGTTGGTTACCCGCAGGTGAGTCAGTTATGGTGCTTCCTGGTGTCAGTTGTCTTTCTCTCCTTCACTCTAAATTAGTATTGAGTCCTCTCTTCCACTTCTTTTTTAGAACACTATTTTCATAATGTTTGATAGATATGCCAGTTGTGTGTTAGCCTGTTTGGGGGCCTAAAATACAGTTTTAAAGTACTTACCGCAATGGTCCCTCGAGTCAAATTCCTCTTCATTTTCTCTCTAATCTCTTCTTTAAAAGCCCCTACAAATTTCTATATGTGGGGCAAGCAATATATTAGTTAGATGCAGAAGGCCGTGTTTGCCTAATACCAATGCAAGCAGTAGAGTAACATATAGAATGAAAAGCCAAGTCCTTAGATTTAGGTGAGTAAAATATGTCACAACTGGTTATGAAAGTGTGCGGGCCTGAAAAAATTCTTAACTATCTTTTCAACTCTGATTTATACCATATACCCCTCCTAATCTCTGTCAGAAAAGAAATTTCAGCAAATGTCTGATAGTGAAGAGTTGTTAAATTTTGTGACTCAACACTATATTCTGAAATTCAACTTAACTGAAAAACTCTCCTTTGTGATTTTATTATTCAACTTTATGGTATACATTTTAAATAATACTGCCTTAAAAATGTTTTCTTTGGATCGCCTACATTTGGGGATAAGATGGGTGTAACTACATATAAACAACATTCTTATTTTTTTTTTAAGTGTATTTATTTTGAGAGAGAGACAGAGAGAGTGAGCAGGGGAGGGGCAGAGAGAGAGAAAGAGAGAATCCCAAGCAGGCTCCACACTGTCAGCACAGAGCCCGACGTGGGGCTGGAACTCATAGCACTGTGAGATCATGACCTGAGCCAAAACCAAGAGTTGGATGCTTAGCTGACTGAGCCTCCCAGGAACCCCAGCAACATTCTTATTTTTCTGCTATGTTTCTCCACTTCATATAGAAAAACTTAAAAATAAAAGGCATTTCTCTATTGGCACTGCTTCGGTTCCTCAATTTTTTCCTTCATGTAACCTGAAAAGTAATTGTCAGCAATCTCCACTGATGGCAATAAACCCTTATATTCAGAAATCGTACTTAAATATAGTAGATTAACATTGGGCAACTATTGACAATGTTTTAGTGATCATATATGAGCTTATATATCATATCAAGTCTGTAACCTTAAGTCAGATTATACATACAATCAAGGATGCTTTTTCTCTCTCATTTTCATTCAAAACATGCATTTTCTAATTTTTAAGAACTATGAATGTGGTACAGGTTAGGCTTATAATGTGACAAAAAATGCATTTTGAATTTTTAACAGATGAAACAAATAGTTGTTATGCTTAAGTGCTTAAGTCCTCAATTCTCCTGTCTTACTGGCTTTAATACAAGTTGCAATATTTATACACCCTGTAATTAATATAACTTATAATTTAGCAGAGCTGACTTTTCTTTAAGTACTAAATAAAGCTTATTTGGCAAAATTTGCCTTAATAAATAGTGAAAACACCAAAACATCTATTTTTAACTGTTCCCCTCTTCCTCCAGATTTTCAATATTGACATCCTCCTCTCTCCCTCCTTCATCTTACCTCTCCTGCCCTCAAAGAGAAATAAAAGAAAAATAAGGAGGTCGGGATAGAGAAGACAGTACAGGATTTCAAAGGGAAGATACAGTTTTTCACTCTTACTTAGAAATTTCCACATTTGTCTCATGAACACTTATTTTGCGTACAAAAAAAGTCCAAAATTATTAGTTAGTTATAGCAGCTTCACTATAGTTTAACTCTCAAGTTAGTGTTATGTTAAAAAAATAAAAGGGTCAATATACTGGGACTGAAATAATTTTATAAGGAATAAAATATGATATTTAAGTATTTCTGATGTTTTAAAAAGATATGTGCTGGTAAAGATTTAAATCAGTGTCTTTCAACCTTTTCAGTACATTGAGGTCACCTAGGAATAGGCCCCACCTCTGACTAAGTCTGTCAGAAATTTTGGTACGGCATCCTAAGGTTAAAAACGCACTCTAGGAAAAATAAATAAATAAATAAAATAAAATAAAATAAATAATAATAAAAAAAAAAGCACTCCAGGTTATTCTACTGAGCACCTAAGGTTAATTTTAAGTTTGGGCTTAATTGGCGCTGGTCTTTTGGAACGTCCTATTTTAAAGTTGATTGTAAAGAATTATTTTTTTGCCTGTAGGTGGAGCTCAACTGCTGCAAGTTAATCCTATAAACCAAATTCAGCTGTCTGCCCTATTTTTTAGCATCCGTGTAGGGATTCATAATAAAAGACCAAAGGATAAAATCAGACGTAGCAAGCAGACCAAATAGTTAGAAATCGTTGGTTTGTTGTGATGATTATAATCATTATAGAAATTCTGTCTTTGTGTAATTTCTATCAAATGTAATTATATTGTGATTACTCTTCTAAATTATTTTCATTACATTGAAATATGAATCAAACAAATACTGACACATACCCTCAAATTATAATCATTAAACATTTGATAGAAATATTTCAAGGTTAACCAGAGTGGTATTAATTTTGATGTTTGAACAGGTTCTGGTTTGATCAGCTGTGTTCTGTTGACCCATGATATTTAGTTGACCTTTGTCTTAAAACAACTCTTTTATTGGTAAAGTTAAGTCGTATTTGTGTTTTAGTTATGACTTATGTTAGGTTGACTGAATATGAAATATCATTATTATGATAGTACCAGGAATTTAGATATGGATATTGAAGTTGGGATGGAAGACCTAATGAGTTGGATTGAACTTTAAGTTACGAGGCAAGGGGTAATATAGTCGTAAATACCTCCTGAGTATACTCCCCGAGGCCTGGGTGAACACCCAAATTAGATGGTGCCAATTGTAGCCACTCCAGTCTCTCTTTGTTGGGGTTGACATATGTTACTAGGATTTCTTAACTTCCCATTGTTTCTAGCTTCTCAAAAACATTTGTGAGCTTTCTCTCAGCCTTGGGGATCTGAGTCTCAATATGATCAGTCACAGCAAGTCCAGATTCAAAAAGATAATACCAAATTTAAATTTCAAACATTTAGAAGATAGTATGCATTTTTAAATTATAGTACAAATTTTAAAAGATAATACAATAATAGATTGAAATCCGCAGACCTTTTAACAACCCTTTTTTAACCATTAGAATCATCATCTCTGAGAAGTCCCCCTCTTCTATTCAACAGAACATTTACAAGCAAGGACTGCATTAACCATTTAGACCATTTCTGCTTCTGTTTACCTTCGTTTGCTCTGAGATGTCTACTGAAGCAGACATTTAAAAAGGGGAAGAGAAAGAAATGCGAGATATATACCGTGGGTAACTTGGTCTCTGAATAAAGAAAATTTGCAGGTATTATCTCTTTGGTATGGAATAGCAGATGACCAAGCTATGGAGCAGTCCCAATTTTAATGAAGTTTGCATGCTAACTTGTACTAGAACTTGCTTTTTATTTTGTATATGTTCTTTCCTAAGCAGTCATTCTACTCTCAAACATATGTTACTGTTGTAGCCAGATGCTGCAAGAACTGCTATACGCCAGACAGTGCTAGACTCCAGGAACATGAAAATAAAGGCACATGTTCAAAATATAGTATATGAGTGCAATTATAAACAATTAATTACAATTTAGTATGTCGAGTGCCCTAATAGACGTGTCTACAAATTATTATGGATGTTAGGTAGGCAATATATATTTCTGGGAAAGTTCAAAATACCAGGTCAAAAAATAGTTGAATGTGGGGCACTAGGGTGGCTCAGTCGGTTAAGCGTCCGACTTCTGCTCAGGTCATGATCTCATGGCTCGTGGATTTGAGCCCTGCATCAGGCTCTGTGCTGATGGGATTCTGTCTCTCTCTCACTCTCTCTCTCTCTCTCTGCCCCTCTCCCCACTCACACTCTGTCTCTCTCTCTCTCTCAAAAATAAATTAACATTGAAAAAAAGAGTTGAGGGGCGCCTGGGTGGCACAGTCGGTTAAGCGTCCGACTTCAGCCAGGTCACGATCTCGCGGTCCGTGAGTTCGAGCCCCGCGTCGGGCTCTGGGCTGATGGCTCAGAGCCTGGAGCCTGTTTCCGATTCTGTGTCTCCCTCTGTCTCTGCCCCTCCCCCATTCATGCTCTGTCTCTGTCTGTCCCAAAAATAAATAAACGTTGAAAAAAAAATTTAAAAAAAAAAAAAAAAAAAAAAAAAAAAAAAAAGAAAAAAAGAGTTGAATGTCCAATTGCCATTTTTGTAGATCAAGAATGGACAAATATCATCAATTTCATAAATTATACCCTAATGCTAGAAAGATAAACCATTTTTTGGAGCCACTATTGGAAAGAAATAACATTTTAGCATTAAGTCCAATCCTTGAAATTAGTGTTGTATAATACCCCAATGTAGACTAGATGGTTTATTTTACTGCCTTTATCTGTTACATTTAAAATTTTGGAATAGTAAAAATTATAATGTAAACCATACCATCATTTGGCATTTCTGGCAAGCTTCTACTTTTCTTTTGTTTGGGTCTTTATAGTAAGGATTTTTGGATATTTTGAACAAAACTGTTTCTTGGGCTGTTTGAACTAAAAAAAACACTTTTAAAATGCCCAGTTAGTTCATTGACAACCTTAATCCATATCCAAGGAATCACCTTCAAAATAAAACAAACAAACAAAATCCTTGAACTTCAATTATATACTTCAGAAATTTGACAACCCTACTGTTTTTACAATTAGATTTCAAATGGAAGACAGGAAGCAGTGAAATGCCCACATGGGGGAGATTCTCCTGTCAAAATGGAGAAAAAGCATTTGCATCTCTTTAGAATGTATTGATTTGTATTATGCCTGAGAGTTACATTCTATTGATCTGGTAGTATCACTTGTTTTTGGAGAACGGAGTTGTACATTTGAAATGTAGCGTTGAGATTATGTGCAGAAAAACATTTCTTAAGTTATTCAAGCATTTGAGGAAGTATTCTCTACCCTGGAACAAATCTAGTCACA